AGGCTGTTCCACTGATTAATTGTTCTGTCAGGAAGTTTCTCCTTAGTTCTAGGTTGGCTCTGGAACTTTCCTGACAGTTAGAAGTTAGACAGTTGGCTTCCTTCAGGGTGGGGGGCACAACCTGGAGGCCGGTGTGGGTTGGGAAAGGCTTCTTTTGCGGAGCATCTCCCCATCAGTGACCCCAGTCTTTGTCTGATCAGACCTTCTGAATTTCTCCTCTTTTAGCTACCATGTGGTGGATCCCTGTGGGAATTGTGGCTGCCATAAACGTGGTACTTTGGATCGTCTTCCTAAGATGTGAGTGATACACATCCGCTGACAGCCCCTCTCCCCCATGTCTTTCTGTGTGTGCTGAGCTGGTGTGGAGTCCTCCCCGGGAATTCCTCTCTCCAGGGAGGACCAGGAGGAGTCTGCATGGAGGGGAACTGCAAACCTTTCTTACTCACTACCCACACCGACACCAAACAAAACCAGTTTTATCGGCCACGCCACACTCATGAGTTCATCGAAGCCCAGCACTCCCACAAGCCATTCCATCAACAGACACACTGACCTACAACCATCCTACAAACCCCTTAGGATCCAAGTCAACCGCACAGCCAACCAGACATAGCACCGATCCCACGCAATCCCCCCTCCCACCAGCAGTTCACCTCCCAATGACCCTGGACTGATGTAACCTCCCCATCACAAGACCCACCACCAGCCTCTCACTGGTGACTCACACCTGACCCATCACAAGACCCATCACCTCACTCGACACACCCACACCCGAAGCCCTTATGAACAGAAAAATACTGACATCCCCTAAGTGCTGCTGAAGATGTTACCTGGCAACGAAACGTTCAGGGACTAAACCACAAGCTCAGAGAACGAAACCTTCAGCCTCAATCTTTCTCCTCTTTGGCTGCTTCCCCTTGAGCCCGTTGAGGTTGCAGTGGGGGGAAGAGAGAGCTAAGCAGTGGAGAGTGTGCTGGTCAGCGTATATGGCTATCTGGTCAGAGTATACAGCTAGCTTAGGAATTAAGAACTGTTCCCTTAAGGAATAGCCTTAATGTTTATGTTACCTGGTCATATCTGTGTTTGGACTGGCCACTGGGAGGGACTTCTGTTTTATTATGGGATATCTTGGTTATGTGCCAGTCTACGAGCTCTCTATAAAATCCAGCTACGAGGATTAGTAGCTCCATTAATATAGGAGAAGCTATTTTCTTTTTACCTATGTGATGGGTCCAGATCACAATCTGCATTTCAGAAGAACCTCTACAGTAACTGTGAATTAATGTCTTGAGGATGCCTGATAATAAAGTAATTTGCATGAATCCCTTCCATGGAGTTATTCTCCCTGTATCAAGTAATATCCGGCAATCTCCTTTGCTTGATCCAGGACAGAGTAAACACGCCTCTATGATATATAAAGTGTATGTGGGAGGGTTGACTTCTCCATTTTCTCTCCTTGCAGCACGAGGCATCCTATGGAGGCTGGAGGCTCCTGAAAACTCCCGAAGCCGCTCTGCCAATACAATGCAGGTGAAAAGGGAAGCACCTCAAAAACTCCTGGGCAGGGCAATTGGAGAGGTCTAACCAAGACCTGGCCCGAGTAGGCGCCACAGAATCTGAAGAAACGAAGGTGGCCACACAGCCCTTGGTTGAGGCCAGGATCCCTCTTCCAGTGGCCTGGAATCTCCGAAAGTGCAGCTTGTATTTTGGGGTGTTTCACACTGGAGGTGGTTGATGGACTAATGCAGCGGTCTTCAAACTTATGACTTGTGCACTTCAACTCAAAGACTTCCTCAGCCAGCATGCTTAGTGGACTTCAACTCCCAGAATTCCTCAGCCAGCATGCCTAGCTGACGAATTCTGGGAGTTGAAGTCCACAAGTCATAAAAGGGCCAAGTTTGAAAACCCCTGGACTAATGGCAGTTCCCACCTCACCCCTTTGTATATTCGCCTCCCTTCCTCCTCACCTTTAGTGATAGCTTGCATTTTATTGCCATTTTGACGTGATTCTATACATTTCCACATAATATTTAAGGTTTTATTTTAATGCTGTGAGCCGCCCAAAGTGGTCTTGTGGCGAGGTGGGCGGAAAACAAATGTAATAAATAAATTAGTCGTACAATCTTTAACATATTCTTTTAACACGCGCTTTTCAATCATTTGAATTCTTGTAACCCGCCTGGAGTGGCCCTACTACGGCAAGATAGGCGACAAATAAATTTAAGAAATAAATACATTTATTGATTTGTTAAATTTATCTGTTGCCTATCTCGCGACAAATTTATTTCTTTCTTAAATTTATCGGCCACCTACAAAAAGAGCGCGTTAAAAGAATATGTTAAAGATTGTATAACTGAGGAGGCAAAAAAAATGGACATACTGTTAAGTTTTGACTTGGGGATTTGACGATTAGATATGTTTTGATTACAGAAATATTGTGCATAATTGGCGTTTAACAGATTTACATGTTATTTTAGGTTCTCAGGTATTTGTTTAAAATACAGGATGTTTTATTATATACAGTATATTTGACTATAGAAATAGTAATTTTAGGTGTATTTTGGGTGTTGATGTTATGATGCATTTATGGGCAATACATTTTATTTAGACTAAGAGACTATGACATTATATATTGTTATCATTTGATTGTTTGATATGTCTGTATCTTTTATATTTTAGCTTTGTATCTGTTGTTAAAATGAAAATACCACAAAGGTACAAGAGTCTTATAATTGTATCCCTCTCAAAGAGAGTTGTAAGTATTTTTTTTTCCTGTTCTTTTTCATGATTTTTTATTTTTAAAAATGTCCCTATTGTTTCCGTGCCCCATTTTTCCCTTTTTGATACATTTTTTTCATGTTAACTGTTTTTTTTATTTTTTGAAACTTAATAAAATATTTTTTAAAAAATAAAATAAAATTCATGTATCGTAAATTTAAAAGCTATTTGAGAACACCTGTAGAAATACTATTTGAGGGAAGGGGGAGGATCCTTGTGCCAATGAAGCAAGCAGTCAGCTAAACAAATTCCTGAGGAAGTGCTACTGTTGGCTACTGTTACACACATCCTAAAAAGATCAATCAAGTATGGAACTAATTGGTGTTCACTGGGGAAGCCAGCAGGAAATCACAAGTCACAGTCATGACATCATGCGTAACAGTTGGCAGGGGATGGTACAAAACATCAATTTGGATCTGATGGAATTAGACTAGTGCCCCCAACCTTTGGGGCACCAGGAACCGGTTCCGTGGAAAGATTTTGGACTGGAGGCAGTGGTGGGATTCAGCCAGTTTGTACCAGTTCGGCAGAACCGGTAGCTAATTTTTTATTGCCTGGGCCCAGAATGGACTTCCAGAAGTAGTATCCACACAGAACCGGTTGTTCACATATTTGAATCCCACCACTGACTGGAGGGGTGTGTGGTTTCACGTGCTGCCTGCATCCCATTGATGGGGCTTCATTTGTTTGCATGATCCAGTTTCTGGCATGCCATGACCCAGTGCTGGTCCATAGACAGGGGGGGGGGTTGGAGACCCCTGAATTAGACCATATAAATAAACACACACAGAACAGCCCAAAGCTCCAGCACAAGTCCGAAAGCATGGAAGACAAAAATCTCTGGTCCCGGTAACTGGCCCAGATTGGATCCTGCAATATTATTCTTGGGCATGTGCAATTCATCTTCATTCCTGATGGAATTAGGCTAGGTTCTGATATCTCCAGGTGAAAATAGCCCAGGGTGTGCCAGGAGGAGCTTGGAAATGGAAGAGGGGGAAGGGCAGAATGGGTGGTGGTGGTAGTGTCTGCAGCTCCAGCTCCTCCCTCACTGCTATTGGGAAAAGCAATTCTCCAATTATTTTGGAGGACTTCCAGTCGTGAGGCTCACCCTGGAGAGTGGCCAGAGAAGCCCACAGTAACCCTTGGAAGAGCTTGGGCAGAGCCACATCTGGTGAGCGGGTCCTTGGGTCCCCCTCGAGGTTCCACGCAGCTGCTTGTGGGCCTGAACCCCAGTTTGATCCCACATGGCCACTTGCCTGGAGGATCAGCAGAACAAGAGCTTCTTGGAACTTCACACCTGAGTGTGGAAACATCACCGTTCCTGGAAGGGGCGACACACACTTGGAAGAAGCCATCCTCCATCACATTCCTAGCCAGGAGATGTTTCCGATGGAGGAGGGGGGGAGGGAGGGGACTGTAGGGAGGCTCAGCCTCTACCAGGAATGGGGGAAGGAGGTGGGGAGAGCAGAGCTCTGAACACTCTCCTTTCACTTTCACTTTTTGCTCAGAATTACAAAGGGGACTTGGTTACTTATTAAACACCCTCTGCTTTCACTCCCGCCTCAGAAATACAAAGGAGAATTGGTAACTTATTAAACAGCAGAACTC